TATACACCATGGAATATTACTCAGCCATTAAAAAGAATTCGTTTGAATCAGTTCTAATGAGATGGATGAAACTGGAGCTCATTATACAGAGTGAAGTAAGCCAGAAAGATAAAGACCAATACAGTATACTAACGCATATATATGGAATTTAGAAAGATGGTAATGATAACTCTATATGCAAAACAGAAAAAGAGACACAGATGTACAGAACAGACTTTTGGGCTCTGTGGGAGAAGGCGAGGGTGGGATGTTAAAGAGAACAGCATCGAAACATGTATGTTATCAAGGATGAAACAGATCACCAGCCCAGGCTGGATGCATGAGACAAGTGCTCGGGGCTGGTGCACTGGGAAGACCCAGAGGGATTGGGTGGAGAGGGAGGTGGGACGGGGGATCGGGATGGGGAATACATGTAAATCCATGGCTGATTCATGTCAATGTATGGCAAAACCCACTACAATATTGTAAAGTAATTAGCCTCCAACTAATAAAAATAAATGTAAAAAAAAGAAATTCATCAAAAAAAATTAAACTGGGCTTTAGAAACATTTCCTTTGAAATTACAATTGAATATAGTTGCCCGACTGTTAGCATCATGTGTACGTGAACCCCTCAGCAGTATTCCACACTGTGGTGAGTACGCCCACAGAGATACTGATGAGGCTACAGAAAATGCAAGGTCTGAAAGTATTTATGAGTCTTAAAAAAATTTACTCTGATACTTGTTCAAATAGTAGGTAGACTGTTTTTAGGACTGTTGCAGTAGATGTAGGGACTTCTGTGATGGGGTGGTGTAGCACAGAGAGATTGGGCTTAACTCCGGATACAACAAAGACAAGTGGCAATATACAATCAAAGAGCAGGGTGGGAAGAGGTATCAGGGGAAGGAAAGTTATGAGGAGAGGATGATGATTCTTGGGTTTCCCAGGTGGCAGTAGTGGTAAAGAACCCGCCTGCCAATACAGGAGACACAAGACGCGGGTTCCATCCCTGGGTCAGGAAGGGCATGAAGGAGGGCATGGCAACCCACCCCAGTATTCATGCCTGGAGAACCCTATGAACACAGGAATCCGGTGGGCTACAGTCCATGGGGTTGCAAACAGTCAGACACAGCTGAAGCAATTTAGCACACATGCATGGTGATTCTTGCTAAAGTGACCTACTGAGATCCTTGCTGAAAGCAGGCTGGGGTGATAAGTTATTATCTGAGGGGTGGTAAGGGATGAGAGGCTTCCCTAGTAGCTCAGTCGGTAAAGAATCTGCTGGCAATGCAGGAGACCCAGGTTTGATTTGTGGGTTGGGAAGATCCCCTGGAGAAGGAAATGGCAACCCCCTCCAGTATGCTTGTCTGGGGAATTCTATGGACAGAGGAGCCGGACTACAGAGGCTACAGGCCTTGGGATCGCAAAGAGCTGGACATGACCGAGTGACTGACTGACTAGGAGGATGAGAAGTTTGGCCAGTCTTCCAATTCTAGGATAAAGGATTCCTGCTAAACTGAGCTACAAGGGTTCTCGCTAACACGGGGCTATGCAGGCCCTCCTGGGATGGAAACGGAATATCTAGGACTAGGCAGCTCAGAGAAGCCTAATGAGAGGTCAAAGAGAGAGTTTGTCACTTGGGAGAGGATGCCTCTATGCAATAATGAACATAGGAGACGTCGGTGACAATTCAGGCCTGAATTTGAGGATGGTTTAATCTGTAACTGACAGAGACCATCATTGTGTGTTCACATTGATACACATTTTACACATCTGAGGAGAATGTCTGGGAAGAACCAATGTTTAAAAAAGGAGATCAGTACCATTTTTCTAGATTCTACATACAGCGTTAATATGAGATATTCCTGTTTCTCTTTCTGGCTTCCTTCACTGTATGACAAACTCTAGGCCCATCCACAGGCAGGAATAGATGCAGATGTGGAGAGCAGACATGTGGTCACGGGCGGAAGGGGAGGGCGGGACGAGCTGGGAGGGCAGCATTGACGTACGTGGCAGTGTTGGTTTAGTCACTAAGTCCTGTCCAGCTCTTTGCGACCCCATGGACTGTAGCCCTGCAGGCTCCTCTGTCCATGGGATTTCCCAGGCAAGAATATTGGAGTGGGCTGCCATTTCCTTCTCCAGGGGATCTTCCTGGCCCAGGCATCGAACCTGAATCTCCTTCAATGCAGACAGATTCTTTAGCGCTGAGCCACCGGGGAAGCCCCACATGTGAGTGAAGTTGCTCAGTTGTGTCCGATTCTTTGCATTCCCATGAACTGTAGCCTAGCAGGCTCCTCCGTTTCTGGAATTTTCCAGCAAGAGTCCTGGAGTGGGTTGCCATTTCCTTCTCCAGTGGATCTTTCTGACCCAGGGATAGAACCCAGGTCTCGCATTGCAGGCAGATGCTTTACCATCTGAGCCACCAGGGAATCCGCCATATGTATACTACTATATGTAAAATAGAGAGCTAGTGGGAGGCTGCTCAGAGCAGAGGGAGCTCATCTTGATGCTCGGCGGAGACTTCCGTGGGTGAGTGGGGGCGGGGCGGGAGGGAGGGAGGGAGGCCCAGGAGAAAGGGGATATGTGTATGCATAGAGCTGATTCACTTTGTTGTACAACAGACACTAACACAGCATTATAAAGCAACTATACTCCAATTCAAAAAGAGAATGAGATCAAGAAGGGTGGCTCCCTGACCTGTGGGTGTGTTTGCAGATGATATGGAAGGTTTGGCAGAGAAACTGCAGATGTAGTCGCAGATGCGCTACAGGCCTGTTGCAGGAGAGGTGTGGTTCTGTGCAAATACGGAGATTTGTGCAGATGGCTATTGCGTGCTTGAAGAGTGGCTAGCCCTAAGTGAGGTGCGCTGTAAGAGTAACAGACACACTGAATTTCCAAGCTGGGTGTGATAAAAAGAATGTACAGCATTTTAATTGTAAAAATTAATTTCACTTGAAATGATAATATTTTTGGTATGTTGAAATAAATAAAAATATGACTAAAACTTTAAAAAAAACAACCAAGAATGAGCTCAAGCTGACACAGAATGTGGGCCCAAATACCACGTTCAATTAAAAAAGCCAGTTGCAAAACTGTTTAGTACAATTTCATATTTGATAAAAACGAATGGTAATAATAAATATTAGTTTATACACAGGGAAGGAAAAAAGTATTGGAATGTAAATCAATGTAAACTAAGAATTGTTAAAAATAGTTTTCTTTGGGGAATAGAATTAGAGTGAAGTTTCAAGTTATGTTTTAGAAAGTTTTTAGGTGGTGTTTTAGTTTTTATAACAAACCCTACCTTAGCAATTAGAAAAAAATATATTTTTTTAAATGAGGGAGGGGCTAAAGGGACAACAGAGCCCTCCTCTCTTCCTGTCACTGTCTAGGAAAGAGTTCAACCAAAGAAGCCATATCAGCTAACTCACTGATCCCAAAGGTGATACTGGACTCGTCATCAGCGGCTGTTTCCCAGGCAGGATACAGAGTTCACCCGCTTCCAAACCGAGACTATAGTGGTGGCTGTGTGAGCTTCTTAAATGCCAAGTACATAGGAAAAATTTATATGGGAGCAAAGGCATAAAGAAGTGAATCAGGAGACTGTCAGCAAGTACTCAATGTGCCAATAAAGCAAGTCCTTAGTAGAATGAGCACAAGTCCAGCAAACTTTAAAAGTAAATTTATGCCAGTGGATTACTTGCAAAGCACAATCAGAAGTTCTTTCCCAAAGGCAGGAAGTGAGAATCACCCCTTCTAGCGTTGGCTTTATTTCTAGCCCTGGATTTGATAGTGGGTTGTGCTCCTGATTAGCTGTGTCATATCAGGGAAGTTACTTAACCTCTCTGACACTTGGTTTCTTCATCAGTAAAACATGGAAAATATCTCCCTCAAAAGATTGTCGTGTGGATTGTCACATTATGACTCAGCTCAGGGCCTGGCATGTAATAAAGGCCCAGTAAGTATCTCCTATGAGCAGAGCACTGAAATATGTACTTTGCAGCTGTGGAATAGAGAGCTAGGGGGAAGTTGCTGCGTATCACAAGAAGCGCAGCCTGAAGCTCTAAGGTGACCTATAAGGGTGAGATGGGGGTGGGGGTGGGAGAGAGGCTCAAGAGCGACGGAATGCGTGTACACTTATAGCCAAATAAAGGTTGTTTTACAGAAGAAACCAATACAACACTGGGAAGTAATTATCCTGCAATTAAATTTTTTTTTAAAAAACCTATAACAAAAGAAAGAGAATATGTACGAAACAAAAGCCCAAACAACCACAGAGAATTCTATATGCTAAAACACAAACGTATTAAACAAGGGTTTATTGGCCTCACATTACAGACACATTTTACCATATGTAAGCATTACAGCAAGTTCTGTATAATGAGATACAGAAACAAACACCTATAAAGGTTGTGATATAGTATAAGACATCATTAAATGGAGAAATTCTACACAGTAAGAGGAACTTAGTGATCCTTCTGTGTTATTTCTCTGCTGTCTCTAGCTCTTCATATTTATCCATGTCCAAGATAATTTGTTGATAAATGTCCAGGTCAGCCTTTGAATATGTTTTAGCTTTCCTCATTTTTATGAATTTTCTCCTCCTTGTATTCTATTCTATAAGTTCACTAATAAGCTCTAGAGCTCACACCACACAGATGGAAACAGAAAGACGCATACATTTGGAGCTAGAGGTGTATCCAGTTTTTAGTCTTCGTGACATTGAGCACGTTATGTAATTTCTTTGTTCTTTGTCTGTTCAAGGAGAATACAATAATGTCTTCATCTCAGGGTTGTTACGGGGATTAAGTAATTGTATTTCACATGCCTGGCACTCAGTATGAGCTTAAAGGTTGTTAGTTTCCCTGCTTTTCCAAAAGGAATCTTAGAGATCATCACCCTTCTCATTTGACAAATGAGAAAGCTTAAGACCACAGAAGTTTAAAAAACCCACACATCTGAAGTCCCATTTCTACACTCTTTCCACTGCTGTCCTTTCTCTTATTAGCTTGTTTAAATTCAATAGAGAAGAGAAAACTCAGTGGAATCAAAAAGTATTCTTTTCCTCTTTTTAATATAGGTAAGCCACCAAGAGACTTTTAAAGTAGGAGTCAGTTTTATGAAAGGTAATAAGTCGTCTAAGAACTGCTCTAAATCCTCAGAGATATTAAAAACAGAAGTTCTGTTCTTCCAAGATTTCCATAGCAGAGGTAAGTATTCTGTGTGCTTTGGCACCAAGAACTCCAGCACTGAGTATTTATCTGCACATTTCAACTCAGGCCTCCGGAATTCTTGCCCATGGAATTGGCAGAGGAACCAGAGTTTAGTATTCAGAGCAGTCAAGTTTGTGCAGCACACAGCTGTATTTGAAGTCCAGCTCTCTTCCATTAGTCAACAGAACTTGCACAAAATGCAAGTAATTTAAATTTAAGTGTTGGATTCTTACTCTGCTTTTATATCTTTGTCATCTTTTTCCAAACCTGAAGATCACCCATGGATAAGCCAAGAGAACCCGTGATCATGTGCATGATGGAAAAAAGGCAAAATTGGGCAACCTGTAATTTAGCTCTTGGCCTCTTCATTTAAGGAAGAATGGCAAGCTTTATTCAGCAAGAAGGAGATATTCAATACTACCATTAAAAATAGCTAAAAGAGTCTGTTATTTCTTTAAAAACATGTTTTCAAAATAGTGTATTACCATAGTAAAATTGGTTGAATTTTATTTTTAAAAAAACATGTCTCTCAGTTGTTTCAGTCGCCTCTTTCCCAGCCTCAAGTTCTTACTCTGTTCAGAAGCGCCAGGAGACCCTGTCACCAAGGCCACTTGCGGCTGCTGATACATGGAGACCCCGCCGCTGGAAACAGGCTGTGTTTTTGACTACACCACTCGCTCTTCGCAAACTGCTAACACAGAAAGCTATATCGGTTCTTACAACTCTTAAATGGTTCAGCCACAATCCACTTATTTTAGTCATATGGATCTACAGAAGGGCACAGAATTGGCCAAATAAAGGCAGAGGCCTATGAGACATTGCTGTGGTTTTCAAGGGTAACAAACAGCTTCCAAAACCTGCTTGCTGCTTTGACATTGGGGAACTTTTCCAGCCTGCATGGTAAAAGTAGCCATATGTTAACTTTCTCTATAGGTCCAAGTTCATTTTATAGGAAGAGACAAGACTGAACAGTCAAACCTCTAACCCCGCTATGTATTAATATACTTGGAGCTGTTTATCACAAATAGTTTTTCTCAGAAGCAAAATCCTGTCCAAGTTATAACTAAATATGCACATTTAAGGGTCTTGTCAAATGTATCTTAAAATAACTGTTTTTGTTTTTCTGTGCTGCTGTATTTATGCAACGTAGGAAGGTTACCTCAAGGGCTAACTATGGACAAGAAATGAACATTTGCTCCTTTCCAAACTATGGTCATTTGATTGGCTATTAATCTTGGCAGTATTTATACAAGAAGAAAGAGACTGGAAACATTTTTCTTCCTAAAGCTCACCAGTTTCTGACAATAATATTGGACTCAAAAACAAAACAATGCATTCATTGCTTCTCTTATTAATAGTTGTAAGATGGCTTTTATTTTTTTTAACTGTTCTATCTGGATCTCATCACCCATAACAAGAACCCATATGCTGTGACTTCTCTGTTTTACACCTTAGTCTCAATTTATAAAATTATTTCAAATTCTGAAGTCTCGGGACATGTCCACATCCTGGGAGGCTGTTTGATGTATTTCTGCTTCAAAATTTCTAGCCTGTAAGTTTCTAAAAGTTTCCAGAAAACCTTACAGTTTTCTGAAAATTCTCTCCTGTAGGGCAATGGGTTGAGGAGTCATAATTCATTCTTGTTTCTGCTTTCGAAGGAATTATTTCCAAGGACTCAAGTGTCTCCCCTTGTACGACTCTCCTCCCCTCTGACAACTGATGCCACACGATCTTTGTTAGTATTTGAATAAGGACAATATAGAAATGTAATTAAGGCCTTGCACTGTTCAATCTTGGAACCAACTATTTTCCCATGATGATGACTGATGGCCTTCAATTTCTTTTATACTTTAAAATAATATTAGAAAATATCTGAAAGAGGTATCAGGGTAGATATGAAAAGTCATTCTAGGTAACTTCATCTCTAAACTTTGATTACTAAACTTAGTTCTCAAAGATGGAGGAAGAGGAATGCAAATAAATAGAAATGAAGGACATCTTGCCCAGATACATGATCAGTCATTCCTAGCAAATAGTGCAATACGATTTTAATAGAGTGGATGGTGATCTAAGTCAAAATTTGTTGTGTCAGGTTCTGTGTTGGACAGAATCCAAATTCTTAATAAAATTAAGCTATGTTAGCTCTCTCACTTTCCTTGATATCTCAGGCCAGTTAGAGAAAGAAAAGTACAGAAAAACTGTGCTTTCTTCTGGAAGGCTTCTCTGGTGGCTCACTGGTAAATAATCCACCAGCTAATGCAGGAGATGTGGTTTGATCCCTGAGTTGGGAAGATCCTTTGGAGGAGGGCATGGCAACCCACTCCAGTATTGTTGCCTGGAAAATTCCATGGACAGAGGAGCCTGGCTGGCTACATACAGTCCATGAGTCACAAAAAAATGTCAAATACGACTTAGCACCTAAACAACAACATACTTCCCTTCACACTCCATTTCCTCTCTGCTCTCATCTCTCCCATTTCCCACCTTCAAAACAATAACAGATACCCAAATCCCAAGCCACTGCATATTTTTCTGGCCAAAACTCTCTGGGAGAAACACGATGATGAGTGTGCCCTGATGTCTCACAGGTCCCACAAACAACTTCAAAGGACAGCTGAAATCTGGCCACGGTCACTTTGCTTGGTCCTGGGGGGAGGACCCAAATTGACTTCCCAGCTGACTTTACCTCAATTGCACTCTATCTAAGTGGGGAAGGAAGTGTATGGAGATGCTCCAAATGGCCTTGCTCCTCAAGTTAGATGCTAGTTTTATTCTGAAGCCAGTCAGTGAAGAGAGGCAAAGGCGCATAGTCTGGGTAAACTGTTGCATGCCTTGTGAATTGAAGGCGTGCTTACAATGCACTGGGTGATCATTAAACGGAGAGTGCAGGGATCTGTCTGGGGTCTCGTCTTGGTTGGGCCTCAACCCTCTCATCTGCAAAATGAGAGTTGAACTAGATGATCTCTAAGAGGTGTTAGTAAAGTGTTGGAAGAGATCCCAATTTGTTTCAGGTCAAACAATTTCCTTGAATTGTATTCAAAACTTGTGTGTATGTGTTTTCATTGAAGATGAACTATTCAGAACCATTAAAAGTGGTTTCAAACTCTAAAGTTCCTCTGAATAATTTTTCATTTGAAGTCACTCTTCATTTGGCTTTTCAGGATATAAAAATCATAACTTTTTCAAGTTTATTAGTAACTAAAATGAGCAATGCATATGTCCTTTCCAGAAGTAATCCTTTGATACATGTTTTAAAAATTAATCTAAACATTGATTATAAAGTATTTTAACTAGGAAAATCACCCACTGTATACTTTTTAAAAATAGATCCTAAATAGTTTTAGGTTAAAACAATTGACTAATTATGTTACAGCCTCAGTTTGTGTGCACATGCAAATCTAGATTGGAATACTTTCTGTCTTAAAAATAATAGTATTTTTTTTCCTTACATGTTTGAAGTTGTCAGTTAAGGTTACACACACATTTTTAAGGAAATTTGAAATGGTCTGTAAGAACGAGTTGCTTTGAAATCATAAATACGAAAAAATTTTTATTTCCTTTTGGAAAACGATCCTTAAATTACTCCCCCCTCCCAAGAATTGGTGATTTATATTCTAGTAAGCATTTTGGAGTCAAAGCAATTTCACTACTTACTTGTTTTGACTATGAGAAATTTCTTTTCATTTCTCTGGTCTTCAATTTATTTTTGAACCTAAAAAATAAGATACTGAACTTGAATGAAATTGTCCTCAAAGATCCCTTCTCCTCCATGATACTACGGCTGTCCTTGGGATTCTAAATGCCCTGTTCTCAATATAGCTATTCTGGAGCTTAATGGAGAAAAGATGGTGCTTTCATATTAGCTATGTTCTAGTTCTTTTATTAATTAAGAACAAATTTTCCTTTCTTGTCCTCTGTTCACCTGAATGCTCTTAAAATCTAAACACATCAGGAAATAAGAGAGCTTTATTTTTAATAGGTTTCTCTCTTCTTTTATGAGTGATAGAAGTTTCACAATGTGTATTTAATTTTCCTATAATTTTTAAAAAGGAAATGTCACTGGGACCATGAAAGAATTTTCTGATATATCCAGACTATATAGAAACCACCATTCCAGCTGGCTGAAAAGTAAAGGCTTGGTTAAATTGACTTGGCCTGGTTCCCAGGCCTTTAGCAATATCTGAGAGTTAAGCCCATCACCTTCAGAAGCTGCAATAACTCTTTGATTCACTGTAGTCCCATTTAGCACATTGCTCTATACTAACATATTTGTGAATAATATGAGAAAGTTGATTCTCCTTCCAAAGTCACTGAATTTATAACAGGATAGAACATCTCTGAGACAGTGTCAGTTTTAAAGTTCTTTCAAGTTGGTTAGTTACATAGCCATTGGGGAGGTGTTCTTTCTTCCTTTTTAAAAGTTATTTCAGGTATCAAACTGTTTCATACAAATATGATATATTTTGTTTCGATACCTTAACACTCAGGAATTAGAGGACACATTTTTAGGGGGGATGTTTTCTACTAATGAGGTCTTTTCATAAAGACCACCACTTTCACTCCCCAAGCCATAGTGATTCTGTAGTCCATGGGGATGCTGCTCCTGCATGCCCACCATGGGAAAGGTAGCCCAGCAAGTAGGTGAAAGGTTGTGGTTAAGGCATTACACCTGCCCCACTTGTAGTTACAGACACATTTTATAAATTAGAATCAGAGATTTCTGCAAAAGATAATGTCATATGATAGAAGGTGTCCTGTAACATCCTCTTATCCAAATCTACCACACCTAATTTTATAAATAGGAAAGAGGGACAATGGGAAGGAACAGGTTTACTCGAAGCCACATAGCCTAGCTGACTTCAATCCCAGACTCTTGTGAATCCTCATGACACCTCATTCGTAGAACCTGTGGAGAGTGAAACTATCTAAAACTGCCCCTTGTGCAGAACTTTGATAAATGGTTTCTATTATGATTTGCCTACATTTTACCTTATATCTAAATTACTTCTTAAAGATTCATGAATTATCAAAGCTAAAAGTATGAGACCATTGATGTTACAAAACAGTTGCTTCCAGTTTCCTCAGTGCAGTCCTAACTGACGGTTGCGCCACTGCTTCCACTAGAAATCAAAACAGTTATTTTGCTAACATTCAAGCAGTTGGAAAATTCTGTCATATCCCAATTTTTGTACTTAAAAGAGATGCTTATTTTTAAAATAGAGGTAATGTATTTTAGGTCATTAAGGAATACTTCTCAAGCTTGTCCTTTTAAGTCTATTGGCGTGCTTTCAAGTCTCAACAGCCAGCTCCTCTTCAAAATCAAAATACAAGTTGCAGTAACTCTCTAATGTCTCAATAACTTTAGAGAGATGCAGCATGCCTTCTGTTAGAAAAGGGTCAAATCTGGTGCCAAATTACATAAAGGCACAGTTTTGGGGACAGAACAGAAATTGAATACACCAAGGTTGCTACTTAGGAAAATGATCAGTATATAATCTAATATCTTTAATTTTATATACATGAATATAATGTATGTCAACTTTGTACATGAGATACATATAGTATTTAAACATTTTACTCAACAGATAAGAATTTACAATAACAATATAACTGACTAAAGAGCTGTCCACTTAATATACTTAGATCTGTACTTTAACAGGAAAAGAATTTAATAGTTTACAATCATAGAAACACGGACATTTAAAACAAGACTTTATAAAATAATTTATATATATATATATATATATATCCTAGCATCTATTGAGAGGAATGATTTTCATTTGTGGCTGTGTGCAATGAATGGCATATTTTAAATTTTTAGGTAATAAAATAATTTAGAAGCAGTTCATGCAGTGGTCAAAGCAAGGGATGGCAGTTCCTTCAAGACGTCCATTCTCTCTGACATCAGCGGACATCAGACACACGCGCGGTACCACTGGGGCACGCTAGAACAAGTCTCCTCCAGCAATCAGTTACATAAACTCCAACATACACCCTATGATACCCTTCCTTCCACAGTACAAGTATAGGTCACAACTTCTCTTAGCTGGGGGAGCAGTAGTCAGTTTCTACTTAATGCGGCTCTGTCTCTCCTGAAATATGTGATAAATCTCCATACAAGGTGACTAACAGAACTTTCTGGTTTTCACGACTTTACTCTGATACTTCACCGAGTGCCCTCCATGTCCTGTGACATAAACATCCAGCAGGTAAGATTTTCCAGGCTGAAGGCCTTTAATTGTTTCTGTGGTCACGGCTTTTTGCAGGTTCTGACTGTGGAAATATTTACAGAGGACCTTCTCTGATTTCTTCCTCGTATCCGGGCCCAGGCATTGGTTTTGCTCTCTTTTCTTCTGGTCTTCATTGTAATTATCATCCACTTCCTTTTTGTAGATGCAAAACTTGTTCCTTTCCTGGGTGCCTAGCCAAGCCACTGTGACTGAAGTACAGGTGCGGAGCTTGTCGAAAGCCTTGATGCGCCTGTCCTCAGGAAGAGAGGGAAACGACTGCTTGCTGGGCCGGGTGGTAGCCAGTATTTTCAGCATAGATGCACCCTTCTTGTTTCCCTTCAGTCGGATGAGATACTTGGCTTTTGGTTTGCCTCTCAGCTGAAACTGCCGAATGCCTTCCACATTCTGGGACAAAAGGAGCTTCCCATCTCTTCTCACTTGGATTTGGACGGCGTCCAGACAAGAGTGAACGAAGAAGGTGACCTTCTGGTGAGACGAGACTGGGGCAAACCGTAGAAACTTGGCCCCCTTCCTCTTAACGAACACGTCGGTGACTTTCCCGTCCTTCAGCTCCACCGTCTTCTGTCTGGCTTCCTCCTTGGTCCTGGCAAAGGTGCCCAGGTAAGCCGTGCTCATGTTGCTGTCGCTGTTGGCCACGAAGACGTCGAAGTAGTACTGCGTGTCGGGTTTCAGATCCGAGACCGTGAAGATGTTCTTGTTTCCTATGCAGACCTTCTGAATGTCCGCCCTGGGCCTCGAGTGCGCCTGCCGCCCTAACTTGGGGGAAGGCTTCGGCAGGAAGCTGCGCTCCTTCGCTGAGCTCTCCGCAGCAAACCCGAAGTGCGCAAAGTCGAAAGGGCTGAAGTCCAGGCCGGGCTTGGGGGCCAGCATGAAAGCATCGTCCGCACTCAGCCTGGCTTCCACCGCGCAGAGACTTTTAAAGTTGTGCTCTCTGCTGATGACCACGCAGTACTGGACGGGCTGCTTCAGCACAGAGGCGGTGGGGCTCGGCTTCCAAGCCAAGGTAACAGTGGTGCGTCCCAGAGACGTGACATCAACTCGCGGGTCGTAAGGCAGGTCAGGGTAGGGCTGGTCAGACTCCGGAGTTGTGGTGGCATACACTTTGAAATGCGTGTCTTTCTCTGTTGAAAGAAGCTCCAACTGATATAAACCAGATGGAGAACTAGAAGATATGAAATACTCCACGTCGTTCCCTTTGTAGGAGAAAAGCTCTGTGCCTTCCTCATTAATGATCTGCTGCTTCTGCTGATCCAGAGGCTCTGGATCACCTAAAAGACACAGAAGAGACACAGTCTACATGTCAGGACATGTGCACTACCTTAAATGGTGTTTGTAAAACAATTCAATTTAGTTTTTATCCATTATAAAAAAAATACATGTTCCTGTAGAAATTTGGGAGATACAAGGAGATAAAAAGACTATCCATTAATATATGATCCTTTATTAACAGTTATTTATTAACAGTCCTTTATTAATAGTTTGATTTCTCTCAGGTTTTCTTCTACATGCTTCATGCAGTTGATACTATTCTATTTTTCTCTGTAACTTTATAACATTATCATGTATATACATATCTAGAGAAACCTCCCTTTTTCTCATTAATTATTATATAATAGAAATAATGGTTGTTAACTTTTGAGTATTATAATAATGCTCTTATATATGTAAGGCTTTCTGATTTTAAATGATTTCTTCAGAATAGACTCCAATTAGTGGAATTTTTAGGTCAGAGGCTGCAAATCTCTTAGAGACTAATCCCTACTGTCAATCTGCTTACCAAAAAGATTCTACCAGTTTGCACTTGGACGGCTAGCCATTTCACTAATTTCACTTTTGTTTGTAGGATGGGACAGTCTCATTAGAATATAGGTTATAAAGCACCAGTAAGAGGATATAATTTTCAATGTGTAGAACACTTGCCCAGGAGGAATGAAGGGAAAGCATTGAAACTAAAATGTTTTCCTTTGTTTTTGTTACTGTTAATATCAGATATCACACCGACATCAATGTGCACATAAGTGAGAGGACCCAGAAAATGACTGCATAGCCAGAGTGAAGTAGATGGTTTCCAACTGAGCACCGCAGGTTGAGTGAGGTGTGTAGAATTTCATGGCCCTAAACCATGTGATGAACACAGTCGTCACATGACTATTCCTTTTCTCTACCTGTCTCATCACTCCCCATATGCTCTTTCAATATTTTCCTAAGTACAGTTCCCCCATTACTGTAAATATCCAGCTTGCTAACATCCTGTCACATCATCAATCTCAAGCCTTACTTAAAGCTAGGATGCCTTTGCCCCTTAGTGGTGGTGGGGGGGGGGGCGCTATGGGCAGCATCAACCCAGGGCCTCAGACAGACCCCACTCATTTCTTTGTACTCGTTATTTGCTTTCCATCATCTGAATCTTCCTGAAATGCCTAACCTACTCCTCCTTCTGACTTTCTTTTCATCCTGGACTTGGAGGCGGTGCTAAACGCCCTTCTGTTCTCTCTTCCTATCTACCCTTTACTCCCCAGAGATCAGATACTCTCATCCTGGTTGCATATTAGAATTACCTACAGGGGCTTTTAACATACCAATGTCCAGATCACACACCAAGGCATTTAAATTACAACCTCTGAGGCAGGATCCAGCATCTGAAGCCCCACTGGTGATTCCAAGGTTCAGGCAGGACTGCAAACACTGCAAACCATAGCCAGGGAAGCTAATCTGAACCTCTTGCCTTTCCCTGCCCCTTCAGTCCCCACACATGTCTCTCTCAACCATTTTTTTTTTAACCAAATCACGGTCATCTGATGTCATCCCCACTTCCCACATCTCCTTCCTCAATGCCCAACTTCTCCTATGCATCCATGCTGTTCTGTCTTACGAAGAGAAGGCTGTATGTCTCCTGTCTTTCAGCCACCCATCCATCCCGAGGTTTGGGACCAGGTCTGGCGGGGTACTCACCTGAACCTTCCCCGCTTGCCTCCTCTGGCAGCTCCTGGAGGCTCAGCTTCCACTCCAAGGGCGCATCGCAGGGCGTCACTGTGACGGACAATGGAGTGTTGTCCTCTTCAACCACAAAGAAATACCTGAGCGAGAGTGGACCACTTCAGACGGGACAACTATCCTCACACCGAACAACCAAGATTACTGGAAAAATCACTTGGTTTAATTTGTGTTCATTTAACAGAAAATCAAACTGGCTATCTGACACAAATCATGATACTTGCAGCATTAATTGTGGAAGTCCATAGCCCAAAGTTCTGCAACCAGATTTACCATCAACATGGTATGAAATAAGTAGATGTTGAACCAAAATGTGTTGATTGGGTGTTACTTGGGTTAAGAATAAACACTTAACCCAGTTTGGGGGTGTTATTCAGCCCAGGCCCTGCCAGTGCAATGTAAGTCACAACAAAGGAATTTCCAGGGACATTACCCTACAGGTACTGCATTTTCCATAAATGTAGTGATAAATTTATAAGATACTAAGGGCACTCTAAGGCACTAACTATTCCAAAAGATCATTTTTACAGCAATGTCCTTCTAGAATGCATGTTGATCTCTAGCAAAATAACACTGTCTTCACGTTTTTACAATGTTGATGTTGTTCAGTTGCTTAGTCAATCAGTCATGCCCGACTCTTTGTGACCCCATGGACTGCAGCACGCCAGGCTCCCCTGTCCTTTACCTTCTCCCGGAGTTTGCTCAAATTCATGTCCATTGAGTCAGTGATGCTATCTAACCATCTCTTTCACTGCCGCCCCTGTCTTTTGCCCTCAATCTTTCCCAGCATTAAGGTCTTTTCTAATAAGCCAGCTCTTCACATCAGGTTTTTACATTAGTGACTTTTATTCACAGCTTTACTATTCCATATCTTTTTGGAGAGAGGTTTTTTTTGGAGACGTGATTTCTCCAATCACCATTTGAGAAATATTTTTAAAAGGTAAAGAGTACTGTGTTAGTCAGTGGAAAGACACATTTCTCTGTCACTAAGATTTTCTGTTAATTTAAATAACTTAGTGATTTTAAAAGCTGGACTTTCCTGGTGACTCAGATGGTAAGGAATCTGCCTGCAGTGCAGGAGACCCGGGTTATAATCTCTGGGTTGGGAAGATTCTCGAGAAAGGGGAATGCTACCCACTCCATTGTTCTTGCCTGGAGAGTCCCATGGACAAGAGAAGCCTGGGGACTCCAGTTCATGGGGTCACAAAGAGTGGGACACAACTAAGCGTGTCATAAGAGTTGAGTGATTTTTAAAACATTTTAAAAGATTAAAGCATTCTGCTCTACACATTCTCCTTAGATTTTTTAAATGGTCTCAAAAGAAATTTTTACGGAGAATAAAAAATATTGCCTACGTATAACAATGCTATATCTTCTTACTCTGAATAATTTAGATGATTACGTTTATCTTTCAAAGCCTATAATCTTGCAAGGGAGGATACCAGTTTCCTCACTGGTTTCATGGCAAAAGATAAGTTTTACCTCCTAGAGACTGTACCTCCTCAGTATCTCGTCTTAGATTCTCTCCACATCCACCCCAACAGCCTCCCAACCTGACCCAGATGGCTGTCTGCTCTGTCAGTCTCCTTTGCGGTTCCTCTCCCCTCCCTGATCTCTAACCCGCCTCCTTCCAGCCGGTGAACCAAGGCCCTGTGCCAGAACGCTCTGTTCTACCCATGCGCATGCCCTGTGTGAGCTCACCCGGGCTCCAGCTTTAACCTCTTGTATGTTAATGGTTCCCTAATTTAAATGGTCAGCCTGAATTCTTTTTTTTTCATATAATTGAATTAATGCATTTATGGCTGCTCTGGGTCTTTGTTGCCATGTGTGGGCTTTGTCTAGTTGCAGCGCATTCTGTTGCGGAGCACAGGCTTCTCACTGAGGTTGAGTCTCTTGTTGCAGAGCATGGCCTTGAGCTTTAGCTCACTTGGGCTTTAGCAGTTGCAGCTCCCAGGCTCTAGAGCGCTGGCTCAGTACTTGTGATGCACAAGCTTAGTTGCTTCATGGCGTGTGGGATCTTCCTGGAGCAGGGATCGAACATCTGTCTCCTGCATTGGCAGGCAGGTTCTTTGCCATTGAGCCACCAGGGAAGCCGCAGCCTGAATTCTAACTAAGTTTTAGAAACAACTATTTTCTTGCTGGGTTTCCCTGGTGGCTCAGCTGGTAAAGAATCCACCTGCAATGCAGGAGACTGGGAGTTCTATCCCGGTCAGGAAGATGCCCTGGAGAAGGAAATAGCAACCTGTTCCAGTATCCTTGCCTGGAGAAGTCCATGGACAGAGGAGCCTGGTGGGCTACAGTCCATGAGGTTGCAAAGAATAGGACACAACGTAGCGACCATACCAAATCCTCTTGCCACTTTCACTTAGATATTACTGAAAATGTCAAACTTAGGGTTTCTAATCCAAATTTCTCATTCTCTCCCCCAATCAGCCTCTCTTGCAGTCTGTCTCTTCTCAGTAAATGACAACCCTAATCTTCCAGTTGCTCAGGACAAACATTTTAGATGTTTTGATGTTTTCTTTCTCTTCCACTCCACATACACTGAATCAGCAGACATTTCTTGGCTTCGTCTTGAAAACATAGTGATTCCCTCACCTTGCCACTTTCTCTGTTAACATCAGATCCAAGTCATCATTTTTTCTTTCTTGAGCATTGTAGTAGCCTTCTGAATGGCCTCATTTCTACTTTGACCTCCTTAGTTTATTTACCTCCTTTCAGAAGGCAATATTCTTGTAAGCCTAAATCTGAACACACTTGCTGCAAACCCTCCAAGAGCTTCTTGTTTAATTCAGAGTAAAAGCTGCAGAACTTGCCATGATCTGGGTCCCCAACCAAGCCTCTAAACTTGTCTCCTCCATCCTTTCCCTTCTTTACTCAGCTCCTTGCTCTCTTTGGAGTATTTATGGAACACTATTGCCTCAGGGCCTCTTACTTGCTGTTCCTCCACCTGAGATGTGTGAGTTGGTCCATAAAGAAGGCTGAGTGCTGAAGAATTGATGCTTTTGAACTGTGGTGTTGGAGAAGACTCTTGAGAGTCCCTTGGACTAAAAGATCAAAGCAGTCAATTCTAAAGGAAACTAACCCTGAATATTCACTGGATGGACCAATGCTGAAGATGAAGCTCCAATACTTTGGCCACCTGATGCAAAGAACTGACTCCCTGGAAAAGACCCTGATGCTGGCAAAGATTGAGGGCAGGAGGCAATGGGGACAACAGAGCTTGAGATGGTTGGATGGCATCACCAACTTGATGGACACGAGTTTGAGCAAACTCTGGGAGATAGTGAGGGCCAGGGAAGCCTGCTGTGCTGCGGTCCATCGGGTCACAAAAAGGAAGGCCCCACTGAGCGGCTCAATAACTGCCAACTGAGGGGCTCATCCTCCAGCTGTTGACCTTACTCGCTCAGCCACTGCATCAGTTCCCTTCTCAAGCACCATCTCGCCATAGACCTACTCTGACTCTTTATAGAAGATATTACCTTCCTACTCGTGAAGTCCTTCTACTCTTCATTTTTCTTCAAAGCACTTGGATCACTACCTGATGTAATACATACGCCTTTGTTTATTTTTTTTTTATTTTCCACCTCTCCTGACTAGAATGCAAACTACAAGAGGGCAGAGCATTTGGTTCAAAACTTAGGAAACAAAATAATTCTTCATAAATATCTGTTGAATTAATTAATGAATAGCTTTAGCTTTTCGCTTTCAGGAAAAAGTGCTTAACTGGTCAAAGAGCCTGGAAATCCCTTGGGGCGGGACCTCTGCCAGCATCAGTATCCTGCCATCATCCCTGTTGTTCTTTGTGTTTGAACCACGGAGGGCTTCTTTTGTTTTCCAGACTCAACCCCATCTCTGAGCCACTGCGATGTTTTCTCTGCCTGAAATACACTCTTTAGTCTTTACTAATAAATATGAAAAAACAAATAATTTAAATTGAAATATAGTTAATGTACATGCCCTTACTCTATGTCACTTCTTCACTTCGCTTTCTCTTATGGGTGTGGTGCAGGTTCGCTCACATACTCTGAGTGTCCTATACTTTTGACTTGGGGCACCTGTTAAATTTGTGTAATGTATAAATATACATTTACATTATTATTTGATTTATGTCATTTTCCCCACAAAGGCCCATTTAGGGTTCATTTTCTATGTCATTTTATTCCCAGCATTTAGCACAGATTTCTGCATTCAGAAGGTCTTGATAAACCTTTTTAATGAATGAATTACTAAATGAATAAATAGAACAGAAGAATCATAACACCCACTTTATTCTAGCCTGAGGATACCTATGCTTAGAATCTACCTGAAGATACAAAATCTGAATGGAAATATACGCCCCCCCCACCCCTATTCAAAGATGAATTAGGAATTGGGGGGTGGAGTTAGGACTGTAGAAGGACAAATAAAGTGAAGCCCCTAAAAAGTAAAAATGACTTGTTCAGAATAAAGATAGACAATCATCCAGACAAAATAACTTAGATGATTGAATTGTTCACAGTATGGAAATTTTATGTACCTTAAGCATCCATAAAGATGTGTGTCAAATGGCTTAGTTTTCAATTCAGTCAGATTTGGACAGTAGAGTTTTGTTCCTTTGGCCAGGTTGCGTAGGTGATATTAACCACATAAACACAACTGAACCTATCTATGTTGCAAAGAATTAGGTAAGACAAAATAATTTCCTTAGCATCATGTAATATAAAAGGTATTCAAAATTTTCTGCTTTTGTTTTTGGTTTTTACATGGGTAGCAGAGCTAACCTGTGCTGAAATCCATGTGCAAGTTCATTTATTATCTTCTCTTTTCCTTTCAGTCAAGAAAGTAGTTTGTTTCCCAAAGTAAGCAACTGTGTCTTAGTAACCTGAATACAGGCCATGAGCAACCAATAACAAAGGAAACAATGCCTGCATTCCACAAGGAAATCATTATACATACAAAACATCAGGGAGCCCCGGTAAGTCAGTGTCTTCATATGGAAACACTCATGATTTAGGGATAAAAGATAATCTGAATAAACTTTAGCAATTTGACAAACATGTATTGTCTACCATGCACAGCACCCTTGTGGAAGGGAGCTGCAATCAGAGATTATACGATATGATTTACGAGCTTCAGGTATTCACTGGCTAATGAGAGAGACAGAAATGTGATAAATATGCTCCAAATTATAATGCCGGAGCTGAGGGATAAACACTCCATGAACCATTTAGACTCTGGAATTTTTGTATAAACATAAGAATAATTAATGAATTTGTTTTCTTTTGCTGTTCTCTGCTGCCAAACTTTATCTGGAGTTTCATCTTTAGCTGTAATATCAACAATGCCTATGCGTATCTCCTGTCACATATTTTAGCTCTAGAAATGACTGTGGCTTCAACTCCTTAACTAGTGTAAGATAACATTACATCCAAATGTAGATATCAAAGTCCCCAATCATTATTTGTGGGGAAGAAAAGACCAAAAGAATGAACAGATGAAAAGTCTGAAAACAGGGTGGGTTCTGAAATCTTATTATAAAAACATGCTACTTGAAAGGAAAAAATGTGATTTTAAGATAGCACTTAAAACCAAAACTCATTTAATTTTTAAGAGACTGGAAGATCAAGGATAAACTGTTTATTTGATTAAGTGATATGATTACATAATAAAGAATGCTGTCTTTTCAAGAATGCTGCAAAGCAGTGTGCAAGTCCATGTGGGAAATCAAAGAAATTGTTAAAGAAAAATTTGGATTCACTCAAAAATTCCAAGAGACAAAGGATATAAAAAGCAAAATGGTTTGGCATGAATTCAGCTGATTATTTAAGACTAATTTGAATCATTAAAACTGTCTTCCCTGCCCTCCCCTGTTTTCACAGACTAAACCTCTGTAAGACATCAAGCTCCTTCAGTGTAATTATCCTTGCATTTTGTGCTTTTATTTATTCTTATGAATGTCCTTGAAAGAGCATAATTATTTTATGTATTACTGACAAATCATTTCCTAATCTATTACCTTCATTAAAATGAATAATTTCATTCAGGTGGTGCTGAAATGATACCCAAACAACAGGTCACATCAGTCACAAGTAAACTTATTATTTACTATCATTCAGACTGTCCAGATGGCAACATGACTTTGCCACTCAGTGGAAGGGGAGAACCACCTTCCATTCTTAGTGTCAACCAAAACTGAAGTGACAAGAGAAAAATGACCTAATGATCTGCTATACCTCAATCTTTGGAAAATGAATTGTTGATGATGACACATAGTATTATCCTTCGGAATACCAAGGTGCCCAAGTTAAAAGGAGAAATTGTTTTTGAAATATGATAAAGAGGAGTTTGGGCACTGCAAAATAAATCACTTTAAATATATGTAGTTTATATGATATATATATATATCTATTTGCATGATCTATATGTAATTTTTAAAGGTCAAAATATTTAGAAGCATTATATGAACTCAATTTGTTGATGTTGGCATGAAGATAAATAAGCAGTCGCTTTTCATCACTGTTTGGTTTGATGCTTTCAAAACACAATCATATAGATCAAAGAAATGTCCTTACAAGACAATGCAAACCCTTGAAGAATCACATGTATTAAATAATTTCATTTATCATCCAGAGTCATACTTAGAAATTTCCTACCACCCAGAAGAAAAGAAAATCTGCTCTTTCCACCCAAAGATCACCATCAGTGAGAATCAAAGAGCTGTCTGGTAACCAGAAGTGGCACTACCATTTTTTTTTTTCTTACTTAGAGAAAAATACACAATGCTCTTCAGAGACTGGGCTTCCCTGTTGCCTCAAATGGTAAAGAATCTGCCTGCAATGCAGGAGAGCCAGGTTTGATCCCTGGGTCAGGCAGATTCCTTAGAGAAGGAAACAGCAACCCACTCTGAGATTCTTGCCTGGAGAATTCCATGGACAGAGGAGCCTTGATGGGCTACAGTCCATGGGGTCAGACAGACTCAGACACGACTGAGCGACTAACACTTTCACTTTCATTCAGAGCTTGATTGCAAATCATCTAAACTAAGTAAGTCTAAAAGTTTACTTTCTATTTTAGAGACACCCTTTATGAGTTTATTGATAAAGGAAGTATTGCAGGGAGAATACCTTTTAGGTGTGTCTCTAAAGAGATAACTGCTAATTTCAGCTCCATCTGGAATTACTGACGAATCATGAAAAAATGCCTTGTCCCGAATTTGCATCTGAAAGAGTTCCTCATCTCGAGTAGGCAACTTCTGGGTCCTTGAGCTGAGTGGTAAGAGCAGCCACAGCATACACCAGCGCAGAGGCACCATCCTGGGGCGACAGAAATAATTGCTTATGTTAACTCTACAGGCAAAACACTTGGGCAATTTGCAAACTTTCTGATGGTTAACACTATTTTGGTTTCGACAGAAAGAACTGTATTATGTATTTTGGATACACACACATGAGCTTGAGGGCAACTTTGCCGGTTTGTTTTTCAAAGTATTTCATCGAGTTGATGATGAATTCACCGGAATTTCAGATACTAAACAGATTTTGAAACAAAAGAACCCTTGGTGCATTAACTTCATTGGGTATTGAGACAGAAAATCCCCCCTTCAGTATGGCAGAAGCGGTCATTATAGATATCTCCATACAACCGTCTCAAAGCTTGAAACTTGACATAAATCACAGAGACCCATTGAGAACCAGAAAATTACCACTGCATGGTTATTTCTATTTCTATTCTATTTCTATTTCTATTCTTCCTTAAAATTTGACCAAGAATCCTACATATATAGAAATATTCTTAGTCCACAAACTGAATTTTCATAAATCAGAGATTTTAAAATATTATAAGTTTAATTTTCTTATAGGTGAAACAATTTGTCCAAAATCACAAGGGGAGCTATTTGCCAGTGTTTAGTATTACAGATTTATCAGACTCTTAAACACAACATTTATATATAAACCTTCACCATATTAAAAAGCAGGCATGGATTCCCACTTCAAATCAAGAAAGACCATTGGGAAGTTCTATAGTTAGGTCATTTGCCTTAATCTCCAGCAGAGTTATGTATTTACCACCCTAGTCTAGTGTTTTCATTGAGTTACATTTCGGCATTAATCACTGACTTTTCATTAAAAAGCATAAACAGTCATGGATCACCCTCTAGGGCACCTTGCTGGAAGGATATTTTCAAGGACATCATCTTCTGCATGTGTCCTCCCAACAGGAAGCTTCAGGTAGGTGAGTTTCTTTTCACATCGACTGCTTGTGAAAGGCTTTGCTTCCTTTGAGGATCTGGTGCCGGTTTTCCTCAGAAAAAACCTCTGAAAGGAGCTGTTTTCCCTTATCTCTTTGACAACATACATCAGCGAATTCAAGCATTAAGGGAAATATATTGTTTTTACATTGAAGTACTTTAAATAGTGCAAGAGTCAAATGCAAATATTTGCAATAATTTGAGATGATTTGAATGCCAATTTTGTTTCTAAAAGGCCATTGCTATAGCTATGAGGTCACTTCTACTTAAACCATCACTTGACTTTAATTTTATCCTTCTTTGAGCGCTACCAAAAATATATTCATACAACTGAACATATTTTTTGAAGGGAATATGCTTTTCTTTTCTTTTTTTAATTAGAGTTTGAGAAGTAATTTTTCCCAGTGAGCTTGCTTGCTCAGAAAGTTCATGTAACTTGCTTTTTGAAAAGTCGTTATCTATCATTGCTCTGCAATTTTCCATATAAAATATCTGCAGTATTTAAGAGTTACTGTGTGCAAAATATGCAGGCATCCCCAGTGGCTCAGAGGTAAAGAATCCACCTGCAATGCAGAAGATGTGGGTTTGATCCCTGGGTTGGGGAGATCCCCTGGAGAAGGAAATGGCAAACCACTCCAATATTCTTGCCTGGAAAATCCTATGGATAGAGGAGCCTCGCAGGCTGCAGTTCATGGGGTCACAGAGAGTTGATCAAATATGACAGCAACTGAGCATACCCACATGCATGCGCAAAACACGGTGCTAAGTTCATTAACTACACTACTGCATTGAATCTTCACAGGAAACTTATGAAGAATGTACTATTCTTACATAAGAATAAGCCTCCTTTAACATAAGCAGAGAAAGGATATAAACCCAGGAGAATCTGACTGCAAAGCCCAAACATTTATCCTCTATAATCTTTCTCAAGAAATAGAGGTTCATATTTCACATCCTTATTTCTCAATTATATTGAGATTGAATGAAAATTCAATGCTATTGAATGACCAAATGTTAAGAAAGTTGGCTTTTTAGTTTCAGCTCCTAATTAGAAGTGTTATCTTAGGCAATTCAATTCACATTCTGAACCTCAATTTTATAAATGGTTTGGATGGAAGGTTTTTCTAAAATCTGAAAATGAACAACGACTGAACACTAAAATCCTCTTCCCAAATAGCTAGCAGATTCCCTGGTGGCTCAGACGGTAAAGAGTCTGCCTGTAATGTGGGAGACCTGGGTTTGATCCCTGGGTCAGGAAGATCCTCTGGAGAAGAAAATGGCACCCCACTCCAGTATTCTTGCCTGGAAAATCCCATGGACAGAGGAGCCTGGCCAACTATAGTCCATGGGTCACAAAGAGTCAAACACAACTGAGTGACTTCACTTTTACATTTCACTTTCACTTTAGGAATAAAACCAGGCCTCTTTAAGTTTCATTAAATAATCTGTCCCTCAGATACCCAGCTGATTGTAAAGGAGGGGAGCCCAAGTGGGGCTGGGGGTGTTAATGGGAGATCACATGACTTACTTAGACATACGTTATATCTATGAAAGATGGCTTGGCGGATCAAAATAAAAACTCAGTGAACCTATTCCAAATAAGTAGGGACATGGTGGAGAAAACTGAATGGAACCTCCACTCATGACACCTAATCCCTCCCCTTCTGATGCCCTTTGTCCTGTAGCTAACAGAAATATAAAATCAAAATGGAATTTGATACGCTGCTCCTGTAAAAAAGGTGGCAAAGATAAAGAACCTGATAAAGAATCCGCCTGCCAATGCAGAAGACATAAGAGACCTGGGTTTGATCACTGGGTCAGCACAATCCCCTGGAGTAGGGCCTGGCAACCCACTCCAGTATTCTTGCCTGGAGAATCCCAGGGACAGAGGAGCCTGGCGGGATACAGTGCACAGAATTGCAAAGAATAGGACACGACTGAAGTGACTTAGCACACAACCCTGTAAAGAAATACTCATTATTTCAACATAATAAAACATATTCAGTTTACTTTGCAGCGGCATCTCTGAAACTTTAGCAGAGGAGTCCAGATAACAAAATACATCTCTTTAGAAATGGTTAGAGTTTGACTTTCCATATTTATTAGGAACTTAGAGCCAACATGCCAGGGAAGCACTTGTGTGTGAGATACTCAGGCGTGTTTGCCCTAGAACCACTCAAGGGCAGCCTTCCCTCATTAGTCCTGTATTTGCCCTGAAAGCTGTCAACTGCACACAACTGAACAGGACAAGCTGCCCAATGTCCCAGGATATCTGGGATATTTAGGTCAGCCCCAGGGTTAGAGGGCTAGCTAGTTATGACTGGCGGGAATTTTTCCAGCATCCTCAGCTGCCCGTGGGAGGAACTTTCTCTTATTAAATCAGCTAATTGTAAGAGATGAATTTTAAATTAATAAGAACAATATTAATACATTTTATTGTGTATGTGATGCATGCCAAACACTCCTCTAAGTGCTTTGTATCTATTATCTCATATAATGTTAGCAACAGCCCTATGGTGTAGGCAATATTATTTATCTCTCCTCAAAAATAATCAAATTGAGGCTTGGACGAGTATGATCACATAGTGATTACAACACGATATGAGGAATATAAAGTCTCAGGAGTGACTTTAAAAGTATGATAAATATGATTATTATACATTCCTCAGCATCAGCTACTTAGCCATGTAATGTTAGGTAAAGTGAAAAACTTCAGATGATAGGCTTATGCAGAGTAAGTGATAAAGATAGTTCTCCATGGGACTGTACTTGTCTGTGCATAGGTGGGAAGCAGAAGAACTGACTGCCTTTGTTCCAGATTACCATCATTTCAAGGATGTTTGTGTAGCTCATAGCCTTGAAGATAACGCTTCTGGAGCAAAGAGCAGGCGTGATTATAACCCATCATGAAAACCCGAGTTCCCTAAGCTCAGGGCTGCTCTCTTGTAACAATCCCCACTGTATGCACCCTCTGCATCATCCTGTGAGATTCGGGGGTCAGGAGCGAGTGGCAGAAAATGATACTGCTGTGGATCTGTGGCTCCTGCTATTGCTCTGAGTAATAAAGTCCTTTGTCACTGAGTCTCACGCCACCTCGCATCCAGGAAACTCTGACAGGCTAACTTGATAGCTTGCAAGGAGGGTAAAATCTCAAACGCTTTACAGTTCTCGACAGCAAGCTTTTACTTGTTAAGTTGCTTTACTGGCTTGTTGGCTTCACTGGCTCCGGTGGACATTTTTATTTAGATAATCAGCAGCAGAGAACAGACTAAACTTCACCTTTTGCTTTCTTTATACAAAATCATATTTCCACAGCTTCAATTTTATCAGGCCACGCTTTCTGTTTCTGAAACAGTTTTAACCATTTTAATTGGTGTATCAGTTATGGGCAAAACAGACACTTTTCAGAAAAGTGTTTAAAACTAGCATGCTTCCTTTTATTTTTATTGTATTTACAGGAGAAGATGGGTGTTAACTGAACCTATTGTGGTTATCATTTCACAATGCATGTAAATCAAACCATCATGCTGTATGCCTTAAACATATACAGTGATGTATGTCAATCATTTTTCAACACAACTGGAAAAAAGTCAGAACAAGCCTCCAAACACAGGAACTTATATCTATATGATTATTGTTTTCAGAATGTTATCTAATAACATTTGTCTACTGCTGGGGAAAAAAACATGCTCAGTTATTAGGGAAACCTAAGAATTTGTTCAATTTGATCAGGTTATGGGCAGAATTTTTCTAACAAGATGAATTTAAAAGAAGCATTGAATATAGCTAACCAAAAACCTATTATGCAGACATATTTTGCATATTTTTACAATTTATATTCACTGATTCAAGTTAAAAGTTTTACGTAAGTATTGTTTAAAGGATGAAATTTCATAGAATTTTTTTCTCTACAAAAAAAGTTCTTAAACATTTGACTTAAGAATTAGTCACTTTAGATAAGCAAGGGAAAATACATTCTTAAGAATAAGCCATGGGTAAGCCAGTCTATAACAGACTTTTCTTCTAAGATTACAAAAGTGCCCTCTAATGGCATAACTTTTCCT